TCCGTCCAGCTGCCTGAACCATTTGGCATTTACTGTCCTACAAGAACGTTAACTGTAAAACAACTAGAGGTAAATAAACAAAGACTCGTAATGTACCCCAAGCCACCTTGCTGTGGTGGAATTTATGATTACGTACCGAGCAGTCGACTGTCTGAAAACCCCCAGCTGTCCAGGGAAGCGATCAAATCGTGTCTATGAAACGCACTGTACCAAATTTGATTCCGACTACACTTCTTCTCTTCGATTTCAACATCTGCTTCGCATTGAGAAAAGTCACCGTTTGTCTCTGTTGAAATGCATGTACAGTTCAAAATTGCCGCAAATATCACTAACTTCCGCGTTATTACAGTCCGAGAGAGCGCCATGTTCAGGTCAAGGGTCGCGTTAGCTCATCACGTGATTTCTAAAATACAAAATAAAATAGTATTTACTCGGATGGATCGTGTAGCTCCATATGGGAGTGTAGACAATACGGGCGAATCACACTGTTTTGTTTAGATTTATATGTCCAGGGAATGTTATAAAAATTGTTATTTATTAATTTATTTACATGTGTATTTAGAAATTTAGAAGCCATTATTAATAGATGCGAGCCACACCTGTGCACAAAATACTAGTCCGTTGGTCGTGCGAATTTTTTCACGTTTTGGAATGCATGTAATACTTGACCAACATAAGCTTTGTGGTGTCAAATGAAAGGACGGACGCTTACTGCGGAATATTTATGTATACACGTACGGGTGAATTTTGAAATACTGTGTTCAATCACACATGAATAAGGACAATATATTCGAAAAGGAGGGGGCAGTTCGGAGGCAGCTGACCCGAATTTTTTGCAAATACCGCAATTGTTGTAGTTGTTAGGCTATAAACAAAATATATCTGATAAAACCGCCTTGTGTTGAATGATGTCGTCAAAACTAATACTGTAAAATACTTTATTTTCGCTTGGAATTAATTTTCGCTATTTTCGATAAAGGAATGATTCAGTGAAAATAAAGTCCAGCGCATATATTTTTTTTACTATATTTGATTCAACTTGTCAACAATCAGTGAAAATAAATTCCACACAAAAGACCCAAAAAGTCATTTCAGCTAAAATAAAATATTTTACAGTATAGGGCAACATAGAAACCGTATGCGGCGTCTAACTGTGTCCTCGTCTAAATGTGGGGATGAGAATTCACTCTGCAAGTATGGTAGGTACAATCTCGTATTGTGTTTCAAGCTTAAATACATATCAAAACAATGGCTGAAATACGAAATAGTGCAGTGTTCGTGAATTGAAGAGTGATTATCACCAATATTAAATTGTTTTTTTTTATTTTATTTAAGTCAATTAATGTTTAATTAAGTCATCTTTCAAATGCAAAAGAATGGATTTATTACCCAACACGTTTCTGTAGAGAGAAGTTCAGACAGTCTATTGACCAAGTACACACAATTGTGATCAAATATATAAGTTAATTTATTAATATTTCTTTCAACATAATAACCACGACACAATAATGTAAATGTATTAAAATCTGTGTTCCCTTCGGATGTATGAAGTATTTTTCGTAGCAATATATAAAGATACAATCTTGTGGACGAGATTTTGACTGGGGATCACTTTCACGCCTAATAGGATGCTCGAGGGATCGGCCATCGCTCCAATTGGTGAGGTCTAATAAATGGACAATGGCTACACCTGAAAAATCTAGTAGGGGTCGGTCTTAATAGCTGGAGGTGATCGTCACCGTGACGTAGGCGCAACTGGTGGATTGGCCATGGCTGCATAATCGGTACATGTAAGAAGCCCATTTTACTTTTACGGTACGGTACATGTCACAGTTTCGCGAGGTCATTTTTACGCATATTGCGAGAAGATCACAAACACACTTCTAAATATAAATGAGTGAGTATGTGAGAAAAAAAAAACTAGTTAGCCGCCATCCAAGGTGTTTGAAGTGGGCGCTGGTATTACCAGATTATGCGCGTTTGTGATTAATAGGTCAATAACCCCATCATTACTCTTTCCGTAATCAATTTACTATTCCCCTTAGTTACCGACAGAAGTCTACGTATGCTGCGTAGTCCAGTGTTTACATTAGTTGAATCATCACCGTATATTATCATCACATGGTTATACGTTGTATACATTTGTCTTATAAACTCATGGGTTGTTTCACACAATTTCTAAAAACAGATAAATATACTGAGTATTTACAAGTATAAACAGCATGCAGATACCGTTCAAACGCATAAATCCACTCAACAGGAAATCACAGCTAAAAAAGTTTGAAATAAAAATGCAATTTACATTACATGAGACAATTTGCATAACTTATTCACGCGAGACTTCAGTACAAATGCGCCATTAAAAGATTAATCGTCAGTTAGTCATTTGACCTTTGACCTTCAGAACTTGGCACTTGAAGATGAGTTTCAAATTATTGAAGAATACTTGTCTTAATTTTCATGCAGCTTGTTCTTCTTGCATTTGCATATCCTGCATACTCTCCTTGAATGTGTAATGTTCCATTTCTGTTGACTCTACATTCTTGGCTTCCAAACGTCTGATATGTAAATGACCTTTGCGACAGCTAAGAACACAAATTGTCACTATGATCGCTATGGTAACAAGAATAAGAATGATTCCAACAGCAACAATAACGATGACAACGAGTGGAAATTGCTTTTTGTCCTCTGAACTAATCACTGACACCGCCGTTGATGGCGCTAATGATGACCCAGTCGCATCCACCTCGGGTCGAACTATTAACATACTGGTAGCGTTCAACCTCGTAAACCCGTAATCCGCGAAGCAGGTTATTACATATTCGCCAGCACTTTTGCTGTTTTCCGCAACAGTTACTTCGAGGGATACGTTTCCGTGTCTAAGTTTGGTTTCAAAATCCCAATAATGAATTGGTAAATTATTAATAACCCATTCAAACCGTAGAACATCGGGACCACCTGTTGTCTCACAAGTAAATATCGTAGATTGCTTTGTGGAGTTAATCATTGCACTTACTGCGTTGATATTTATTACTGGCGATTCGTACACGTTGAACGGGCCTAAAGTGCAACGCCGTGTTACAGTTATTCTTGGGTGCGTCATTTCACATGTAAATTGCATTCCATTATATTGTCGATTCACAACCAACGCATAACTCAAACTCGCAGTGTCGTCATCAACTGTCAAAGCAACTTTCGAATTATTGGGGTTAGTACCATTGCCTTCCAACCAGTACATTGCTACCATTGGGACACCCGAATCGGACTTACACAGTAGTTCCAACGACATTCCTTCAAAGAATTCGTTCTGGCTTTGCTGACTATTACTTACGGAACACACGGGATACCGTTCCCTGGGAGTCACATAGATATGAACTTCAGCGATCGATGATTCGGTGATAACTATGTTTGCATCGGTAATGATCTTACACTGATATACACCAGTGTCCATACGGGCAGTCTCGAACCCTATGTCAGCAATGTACAAATTATATGACGTAGTAGCTGACGTAGTAATACTGTACCGTGCATCCACGATGCCGGAATCGCCAGTTGCATACAACACGTAGCTATTATCGCTTATCTTCTTGTCATTTTTAAACCACGATACGTGATATTCACCTAAGCCGTCGACCTTGCATACCAAGTACACGCTTGTAGACGACTCCTCACCGTACTCAAATGTATGCGTGAACGATGGAGTTGGTCCAGACACTATTGAGGTACATTCCACGACACAGAGGTACGCTGAGATCAACGTGCATATTAGTATCAACATCGCTGTAATGAGCGTAGCAATCAGATCGGGCGCTGTGGTAGAAATGTCGCTCGTTTACAGGCACAGAACTCGAAAGGTACTTCACGCTCCATTGATATACTTTCTTGTTCCGGGTTATCTTTTGTATTTATTCATGAAGATTAAAATAACTACAAAGAATGTATCCTTTGTGTGTCGATGACTATCCGGTCACAACTGGTGCATTGCATTCGGGTGACGTACCTTTTCATTCAATAACGTAACATACTTTGCATTCTTTAAATACTTACTATAAATTCGTCCGATAACCTGATTTTGGAAAGTTAAAATAAAGATAATTTCGGAGCTTGGTGCATGCGAGTTTGACGTGCGTTTCTATGTAACAAATTGCAACAATTGTTTTCATACCGCAACGATATATGTTCTGTCATGACATACTGTGTAAGTTTGTACTACCACAGACCTACTACCTTCCATGTACAGACTAATAATAGTACTACTAGTCTACGGTCCCAGTGCAGAGGTGACATCATTGTACCACGATATCGGCGATATCGGCGTCGTGATGAAAACATGTCTAGAAGGGTATAAAAATGCTTTAATGTAATTACAGCACGGACTTTATCGCATCACGATTTGAAAAAAAAAATGAAATTAACAAAAAATCTAACAAATGCAATTGACGTCCCGTTAAATTCTAACCAAAACTACCGTGACGCCAAACTAAGTTAATGACCGTTGTTGGCGCTGTTGTATTTTAACATCGCGTTTTTCACATAATTATACAAACATATTATTATTGAAAGCTTTATCACTCCTTAATACATGTGCGAATTTTTCATGAATATTTAGGCGGAGCCAACAACAATTAAGAGAGAAGCTTTTTTAAGCTCACTGTCATTTCTCAATCACTGCAGCAGCGAAAGTTTCTCAGTCTCCTCTTGGTCATGTGATTATTATTTCACTTTTTTTCTCTATGTTGATTAGTAATTGCCACGTATAATGACAACGTTCAGCATGTTAATTCCCCTGAACAAACAATTCAAATCAGTCATTGCCAAGTTAGCTATAGCTACGCACATAGAGCTCCATGCTACAAACAACGCTCAAAATGACTCACTGAACGAAACCAACACTGTTCTGTAAACATGCAATATAACGTTCGTAGTTAGAAAAACTGGAAAAATTTGAAATGAAGCAGAGCATCATGGGTATTTTATAGTTTATTGACTATAAAATGACGAGTGGCTATGCCACTTGGAAATCCATCCACCATACAATTTTTAACACACATAATGCAAAGTACATTCACATTTCCAAAATGTAATGGTTTGAGTGTTTTGGAAGAATCGATATGAATTTTAGTTTTCTGTGACTATTAAAATGGGTATTTTTGTTTACGTTTGAGCTTAACTCCAACCCAAAGTCAAAGACATAAAGAATTCCGCATTTTGCTCTGTTTTTGGAATAAGTTGGTGTTTACGTGACTTTTTTTTTTGTTGTTCTATGGACATGTCCCCTTTTCCCTACATGAATACAATGTTGTATTCGTGGTGGAAAGTCATTCGATGAACATTTCAGAAGATTATACTTAGTGAATGACTTGTT